GAGTCTACTTTACTGGCATAAAAGTGTTCAACAATCTGCCACAAAGTATTAAAAACTTGGGCAATGATACTAAAAAGTTTAAATCAGAGTTAAAGAATTATCTACATGCTCATTCCTTCTACTCTTTAGATGAATACTTCAATGTAAATAGAGAATGATGTAAAATTAAGTTATATTAATTTTTAAGCTAAAATTGCCTGTACTTATGTATGTAACATTTTGACTTGTTCTGTATCCAAAGGTACTAACCTGCTTAGGATTTATAGAATGTAAATAAATTCAATTCAATTCAATTCAAAAAGCAGAAGAAGCAGAAGAAGCAGATGAAAAAGAAGCAGAACAAGAAAAAGCAGAAAAAGAAGAAGCAGAAGAAGAAGAACAAGAAGCAGCAGAAGCAGCAGAAGCCGCAGACAGAAGCAGAAGCAGAAACAGAAGAAGCAGAAGGAGCAGAAGCAGAAAAAGAGGCCGCAGAAGCAGAAGAAGCAGAAGCAGGAGAAAAAGAAGCAGCAGAAGAAGCAGCAGAAGAAGAAGCAGCAGGAGAAACAGAAGCAGCAGAAGCAGGAGCAGAAGAAGCAGAAGCAGAAGGAGCAGAAGCAGAAGCAGAAGCAGAAGAAGCAGGCAGAAGCACATGAAACAGGCAGAAGCAGTCAGAAGCAAAAGCAAAATCAGAAGAAGCAGAAGCAGCAACACAGAAGAAGCAGAAGCAGAAGAAGCAGAAGCAGCAGAAGCAGAAGCAGTAGAAGCAGAAGCAGAAGAAACAGAAGCAGAAGAAGCAGACAGAAGCAGAAGCAGACAGAAGCAGAAGAAGCAGAATCAGAAGCAGCAGAAAAAGCAGAAGCAGCAGAAGCAAAAGCAGCAGAAGAAGCAGAAGCAGAAGCAGAAGAAGCTGAAACAGAAGAAGAAGAAGCAGCAGAAGCAGAAGCAGAAGAAGCAGAAGCAGAAGCAGAAGAAGCTGAAACAGAAGAAGAAGAAGCAGCAGAAGCAGAAGCAGAAGAAGCAGAAGCAGAAGCAGAAGAAGCTGAAACAGAAGAAGAAGAAGCAGCAGAAGCAGAAGCAGAAGAAGCAGAAGCAGAAGCAGAAGAAGCTGAAACAGAAGAAGAAGAAGCAGCAGAAGCAGAAGCAGAAGAAGCAGAAGCAGAAGCAGAAGAAGCAGAAGCAGAAGCAGAAGAAGCAGAAGCAGAAGAAGAAGCAGAAGCAGAAAAAGCAGAAGCAGCAGAAGAAGCAGAAGCAGCAGAAGCAGCAGAAGAAGCAGAGGCAGCAGAAAAAGCAGAAGAAGAAGCAGAAGCAGAAAAAGCAGAAGCAGCAGAAGAAGCAGAAGCAGCAGAAGCAGCAGAAGAAGCAGAAGCAGAAGAAGAAGCAGAAGCAGAAGAAGCAGAAGCAGAAGAAGCAGAAGCAAAAGAAGAAACAGAAGCAGAAGAAGCAGAAGTAGAATTAGAAGAAGCAGAAGCAGAAGGAGAAGAAGAAGCAGAAGCAGAAAAAGAAGCAGCAGAAGAAGCAAAAGAAGCAGCAGAAGCAGAAGAAGCAGAAGCAGCAGCAGAAGCAGCAGAAGCAGAAGCAGAAGAAGCAGTAGCAGAAGCAGAAGAAGCAGAAGCAGAAGCAGAAGCTGAAGAAACAAAAACAGAAGAAACAGAAGAAGAAGAAACAGAAGCAGAGCAGATGAAAGAGAAGCGGAAGAAGCAGAAGCAGAGGCAGCAAAAGCAGAAGCAACAGAAGCAGATAAGCAGAAGAAAATGAAGCAGAAGCAGATGAACAGAAGCAGAAGCAGAAGAAGCAGAAGCAGAAGCAGAAGAAGCAGAAGCAGAAGAAGCAGAAACAGAAGAAACAGAAGCTGAAGAAGAAGAAGCAGAAGCATAAGCAGAAGAAGCAGAAGCAGCAGAAGCAAAAGCTGAAGCAGAAGAAGCAGAAGCAGAAGAAGCAGAAGCAGAAGAATCAGGCAGAAGCAGTCAGAGGCAGAAGCAGTCAGAAGCAGAAGCAGAAGAATCAGAAGAAAAAGGAGCAGCAGAAACAGAAACAGAAGCAGAAGCAGCAGAAGAAGCGGAAGAAATGGAAGCAGAAGAAGCAGAAGCAGAAGAAGCAGAAAGAGTAGCAGAATAAACAGAAGAAGAAGCAGCAGCAGAAGCAGAAGAATCAGACAGAAGCAGAAACAGAAAAGCAGACAGAAGCAAAATCAGAAGAAGCAGAAGAAGAAGAAGCAGAAACAGAAGCAGAAAAAGAAGAAGCAGAAGCAGAAGAAGCAGAAGCAGAAGCAGCAGAAACAGAAGAGGCAGAAGCAGATGAAGCAGAAGCATCAGAAGAAGCAGAAGCAGACAGAAGAAGCAGGAGCAGACAGAAGAAGCAGAAGCAGACAAAAGCAGAAGAAGCAGAAGCAGAAGAAAAAGAAGCAGAAGAAGCAAAAGCAGAAGAAACAGGCAGAAGCAGTCAGGAGCAGCAGAAAGAGTCAGAGGCAGAAGCAGTCAGAACAGAAGAAGAAGAAGCAAAAGCAGAAGCAGCAGCAGAAAAACAGCAGAAGAATCAGAAGCTGCAAAGAAGCAGACAGAAGCAGTAGAAGAAGCAGACAGAAGTAGAAGCAGAAGAAGCAGAAGCAGAAGAAGCAGGAGCAAAAGAAGCAGAAGCAGAAGAAGCAGAAGGAAAAGAAATAGAAGCAGTAGCAGAAGAAGCAGACAGAAGAAGAAGCAGAAGAAGCAGACAGAAGCAGAAGAAGAAAAAGAAGCAGAAGAAGCAGAAGAAGAAGAATCAGAAGCAGAAGCAGTAGAAGAAGAAGTAGCAGAAGCAGCAGAAGCAGAAGCAGAAGCAGAAGAAGCAGAAGCAACAGAAAGAGGAGAAAAAGCAGAAGCAGCACAAGTAGCAGAAGCAGCAGAAGAAGCAGAAGCAGCAGAAGCAGAAGCAACAAAATTAGAAGAAGCAGAAGAAGCAGAAACAGAAGAAGCAGAAGAAGAAGCAGAAGAAGAAGGAGAAGAAGCAGCAAAAGAAGCAGAAGCAAAAGAAGAAGCAGAAGCAGAAGCATAAGAAAAAGAAACAGAAACTGAAAAAGCTGCAGAAGCAGAAGAAGCAGCAGAAGCAGCAGAGAAACAGCAGACAGAAGCAGAAACAACAGGCCGAAGCAGAAGCAGAAGAAGCAGAAGAAGCAGCAGAAGCAGAAGCAGCAGAAGCAGCAGTCAGAAGCAGAAGAAGCAGAAGGAGCAGAAGCAGAAAAAGCAGAAGCAGAAGAAGCAGAAGAAGAAGCAGAAGCAAAAGAAGAAAAGCAGAAGCAAAAGAAGAATAAACAGAGGAAGCAGAAGCAGCAGAAGAAGCAGAAGCGGAAGAAGCAGAATAAGCAGAATCAGCAGAATAATCAGAAAAAGCAGAAGCAGCAGAAAAACAGAAGCAGCAGAAGCAGAAGCCGAAGAAGCAGAAGAAGAAGCAGAAGAAAAAGAAGCAGAAAAATAAGCAGAAGCAGTAGAAGCAGCAGAAGAAGCAGCAGAGAGATGCAGAAGCAGCAGGCAGAAGCAGAAGCAGAAGAAGCAGAAGCAGAATCAGCAGAAGAGGCAGAAGAAGCAGAAGCAAAAGAAGCAGAAGCAGAATTCAAAGCAGAAGAAGCAGAAGCAGTAGCAAAAGCAGAAGAAGCAGAAGCTGAAGAAGCAGAAGCAGAAGAAACAGAAGAACAGAAGCAGAAGGAGCAGAAGCAGCAGAAGCAGAAGAAGAAGCAGAAGAAGCAGAAGCAGAATCAGCAGAAGAGTCAGAAGAAGCAGAAGCAAAAGAACAGAAGCAGAAGACGCAGAAGCAGAAGAAGCAGAAGCAGAAGCAGAAGAAGCAGAAAAACAGAAGCAGAAAAAGCAGAAGCAGAAGAAGCAGGCAGAAGAAGTCAGAAGCAAGCAGAAGCAGTCAGAGTCAGAAGCAGTCAGAAGCAGAAGCAGAATCAGAAGCAACAGCAGAAGAAGCAGTAGCAGCAGAAGAAGCAGACAGAAACAGCAGAAAATGCAGACAGAAGCAGAAGCAGAAAAAGCAGAAGCAAAACCAAAAGCAGAAGAAGCAGAAGGAGCAGAAGCAGAAGCAGAAGCAGCAGAAGAAGCAGAAGAAGCAGAAGCAGAAGCAGCAGAAGAAGCAGAAGAAGCAGAAGCAGAAGCAGCAGAAGAAGCAGAAGAAGCAGAAGCAGAAGCAGCAGAAGAAGCAGAAGAAGCAGAAGCAGAAGCAGCAGAAGAAGCAGAAGAAGCAGAATCAGAAGCAGAAGCAGAAAAAGCAGAAGCAAAACCAAAAGCAGAAGAAGCAGAAGCAGAAGCAGAAGAAGCAGCAGAAGCAGTAGCAGAATAAACAGAATAAAAGCGGCAGCAGAAGCAGAAGCAGAAGAAGCAGACAGAAGCAGAAACAGAAAAGCAGACAGAAGCAAAAGCAGAAGAAGCAGAAGGAGCAGAAGCAGAAGCAGAAGCAGAAGAAGCAGAAGCAAAAGAAGCAGAAGCAGGAGCAGCAGAAACAGAAGAGGCAGAAGCAGATGAAGCAGAAGCAGCAGAAAAAGCAGAAGAAGCAGAAGAAGCAGGAGCAGACAGAAGAAGCAGAAGAAGCAGAAACAGAGGAAGCAGAAGCAGAAGCAGAAGAAGCAAAAGCAGAAGAAACAGGCAGAAGCAGTCAGGAGCAGCAGAAACAGTCAGAGGCAGAAGCAGTCAGAACAGAAGCAGAAGAAGCAAAAGCAGAAGCAGCAGCAGAAGCAACAGCAGAAGAATCAGATGCTGCAAAAAGCAGACAGAAGCAGCAGAAGAAGCAGACAAAAGTAGAAGCAGAAGAAGCAGAAAAAGCAGAAGAAGCAGATGCAGAAGAAGAAGAAGAAGCAGAAGCAGAAGAAGCAGACAATTACAGAAGCAGAAGGAGCAGACAGAAGAAGAAGCAGAAGAAGCAGAATAAGCAGAAGAAAAAGCAGAAAAAGCAGAAGCAAAAGAAGCAAAAAAGCAGAAGCAGAAGAAGCAGAAGAAAGAAAGAAATAGAAGCAGTAGCAGAAGAAGCAGACAGAAGCAGAAGCAGGAAAAGCAGACAGAAGCAGAAGAAGAAAAAGAAGCAGAAGAAGCAGAAGCAGAAGAAGCAGAAGCAGAAGCAGTAGAAGAAGAAGAAGCAGAAGCAACAGAAGCAGAAGCAGCAGAAGCAGAAGCAGCAAAATCAGAAGAAGCAGAAGAATCAGAAACAGAAGAAGCAGAAGAAGAAGAAGAAGCAGCAGAAGCAGCACAAGAAGCAGAAGCAGAAGAAGAAGCAGAAGAAGAAGCAGAAGCAGAAGAAGATGAAACAGAAGTAGAAAAACCTGCAGAAGCAGAAGAAGCAGCAGAAGCAGCAGAAGAAAGAGGAGAAAAAAGCAGAAGCAACAGGCAGAAGCAGAAGCAGAAGCAGAAGAAGCAGAAGAAGCAGAAGCAGCAGACAGAAGCTGAAGAAGCAGCAGAAGCAGAAGAAGCAGAAGCAGAAGAAGCAGAAGAAGAAGCAGAAGCAGAAGAAGCGAAGCAGAAGCAGAAGAAGAATAAACAGAGGAAGCAGAAGCAGCAGAAGAAGCAGAAGCGGAAGAAGCAGAAGAAGCAGAAAAAGCAGAAGCAGAAGCAGAAAAAGCAGAAGCAGCAGAAGCAGAAGCCGAAGAAGCAGAAGAAGAAGAAGCAGAAGAAGAAGAAGCAGAAGAAGAAGAAGCAGTAGAAGCAGCAGAAGAAGCAGCAGAGAGAAGCAGAAGCAGCAGGCAGAAGAAGAAGAAGCAGAAACAGAAGAAGCAGAAGCAGAAGCAGGAGAAGCAGAAGAAACAGAAGCAGATGCAGAAGATGCACAAGCAGAAGAGCAAAAAGCAGAAGAAACAAAAGCAGAAAAAAAAGCAGAAATAGAAAAAGCAGAAGTGGAAGCAGTAGAAGAAGGAGCAGACAGAAAAAGCTGAAACAGACAGAAGCAGATGCAGAAAAAGCCGAAGCAGAAGCAGAAGAAGCAGAAGCAGAAGCAGAAGCAGAAAAAGCAGAAGAAGAAGAAGCAGAAGCGGAAGAAGCACAAGCAGAAGAAGCAGGCAGAAGCATTCAGAGGCAGAAGCAATCTGAAACAGAAGCGGAAGAAGCAGAATAAGAAACAGCAGCAGAAGCAGAAGCAGAAAGAGAAGCAGAAGCAGCAGAAAAAGCAGAAGAAGCGAAGCAAAAGAAGCAGAAACAAAATCCGAATCAAAAGAAGCAGAAGCAGTAGCAGAAGCAAAAGCATAAGAAGCAGAAGCTGAAGAAGAAGAAGCAGAAGAAACCGAAGAACAGAAGCAGAAGAAGCAGAAGCAGAAGCAGAAGAAGCAGAAGAAGAAGCATCAGCAGAAGCAGAAGCAGAAGAAGCTGACAGAAGCAGAAGAAGGACAAGCAGACAGAAGCAAAAGCAGAAGAAGCAGAAGAAACAGAAGCAGAAGAAGAAGAAAAGGAAACAGAAGAAATAGAAGCAGCAGAAGCAGAAGCAGAAGAAGAAGAAGCAGAAGCAGAAGAAGCAGAAACAGAAGGAGGAGAAGCAGAAGCAGAAGACGCAGAAGCAGAAGCAAAAGAAGCAAAAGCAGAAGCAGAAGAAGCAGAAGAAGAAGAAGAAGAAGAAGCAGAAGAAGCAGAAGAAACAGAAGAAGAGAAGCAGAAGAAGCAGAAGCAGCAGAAGCAGAAGAAGCAGAAGCAGCAGAAACAGAAGAAGCAGAAGAAGAAGCAGGAGCAGGAGCAGAAAACAGAAGAAGCTGACAGAAGCAAAAGCAGGAGAAGCAGACAGAAGAAAAAGCAGAAGAAGCAGAAGCAGAAGAAGAAGAAGAAGCAGAAGAAGAAAAAGAAACAGAAGAAGCAGAAGCAGAAGAAGCAGAAAAACAGTGCAGAAAAACAGAAGCAGAAGAAGCAGAAGCAGAAGCAAAAGAAGCAGAAACAGAAACAGAAGCAGCAGAAGAAGAAGATGCAGAAGCAGATGAAGAAGAAGCAGAAGCAGAAAAAGCAGAAAGAGAAGCAGAAGCAGCAGAAGCAGAAGATGCAGAAGCAGATGAAGCAGAAGCAGAACCAGCAGAAGAAACAGAAGCAGCAGAAGAAGCAGAAGAAGCAGAAGCAACAGAAGAAGGAGAAGCAGACAGAAGAAGCAGGAGCAGACAGAAGAAACAGGAGCAGACAGAAACAGAAAA